TAAATAAAAGATAATAAGGGAATAGAATTCAATTAGATCTCACAAATCATGAAGAACCAAATCTAGATTAATCCTTTGATTGGAAAAATAAATTAATTATCCATAAACATGGGAGAAGTCTCCCAATTATTTATGAAAAAATAAAAGAAAAGGAGAAAAGAGAAGAAGGGGGCGCGTAACGTGTGGGAGAGAAAGAGAGAGAAGAGATTGATCCAAAATAAATCTAGCAGTTTTAATTAAAACCAGTCTAATCCTAATCCTAGCATAAAGTACGTAGAAAACTAATAAAGAGATCATTCTCTCTCCAAAATATCCTAATAAAATAATAATAGTCCATAAATAAATAAATACTCCATAAAGTTTTATTATTTCTTTTTTCAACTCAAGACTCCTTCCTTCTTTCAACTCTTGTAGGAAATTAGCGTGCCCACGCTTTAACACAAATTCGTCTTTTTTGCCCTCCAATCATCATGAAATTCCAAATTCTGAGATATCCTACAAAAATTATAAAAATCAATTAAAATCAATAATTAAGCTCATACAAACACCCCTGATTTTAGGTCGTCCGATTAATCGCGATTAATCGTCCTGGTCGCTCCCAAGTGCTCGATTAGGAGGTCCGACCCGACCAGCTCTACCAGAAATCTGGTCGCCCGATTAATCGACGATTAATCGCGATTAATCGTCCGACCAGGGCATATGGACGAAGGACATATATTTGTCATTTTAGGCTGGTATGTGGGCTGCTGGGCTTGGCCTGGCCTGTTAGGGTTGGGATATATATAGGAAGGAGGCAGCCCGATTAATCTAGCTGGTCGACGATTAATCACGATTAATCGTCTGATGGGTCCCTGGTCGACCAGCCGACCTGAAAACATTGCAAACACCGAAAAAGTGTGAAAAACATGACAATTAACATGCCAATAATACGACTTATCATAGTTCTTCTGTGTATTAATATTTTGTTTCTTTTGCTGACATCTCTCTTTATACTTATTTGCAGCTTCACAACACACCCTATTTATATTCAGTTGCAGCTTCATACTTTTTTTTTTTCACATGGACGAACCACAAATTTCTCCTCCTCCTTCGCTACCACTAAACAATCCTCCTCCACCACCACAGCAACCAGCACATCTAGTACCAGCACCACCACCTCCACCATACCATGACCAGTATAAGTTGTGCACTTTCGGATATGCCTATGCCACAACACAACCTCATTTGGGATACACGTATGGAAACCATCCCCATGATTGGTTGCCGGTGAGTGTCGATCCTTGGACACAAACCGGGAACGTATGTTATCCCCCTACTATGAACCGACCCCACCAACTTAAACATAAGAACTATTTAGAAATTGAGGCTATAGATAGAAACACTGGAGTCATTATACATCAGAGATATGACTCCACTCTGCTCGAGTTTATTGCCAACAAAGGAGGTGCCTTGAGAGTGCTATCAAGACCGTCGATGTTGGGCGAGCAAATCGATTACTTTTATCTACCCACTTACACGCGTAAAATAATTAGGGGCATGATACGATTCGTACAATTCCTCCATATGCATGGTTTGTCGATTCAAAGTATCATGCCCGATAATCTTGTCGTGCGAGACGGAGTCCTTAAATTTTGGCGCGTGACATTCATAGCCTTGAATAAGGAGAACGATTATCACTTGCTATGGCATTTCATATGGACTCGGTTGCTGGCGGATTACCGGCCTGAGGATGTACCGGTTGATTTTCGAGGATTTCTCCATATTTTGCTTAATAGGAATCTCAAGTAAGTAGTGTAATTATTCAAATTTACACACACCCACACATATATATATATATATATATATATTCTTACACATCGTGTTTTGTTTTATTTTGTAATTAGTGCACACCCCAGACTCTTCGCTTCTCATTCTTCCATTTTAAACTCCCGGAGAAAAATCGAGTTCTTTATTGGTGCGTATTCAAAAGGGTGGAGTACGACTTATTTAAGGAGAATCCATAGCAGTGCAGTTAAGATGATGGGGACGGATCATGAATATTGGTTTGATAGGAAATTTGATGAAGGGGCGACATCACAATTTTTATTGTTAGGCACTTGTTTGGTAGCCAAAAAGACTATTTCATACGACCAAAGCAGTGGAGAAGGGGGATTTGTATGTTTACTCGAATGTTGCAGGAACATGGCAACGCATCTGATAGAGCATCTCACAGATGAGGATATTGGAGAAGTAAGAAAATATAGTCGCTTATTTATTCTTTATCACATTATTTATTTTGATTTTTGTCACAATTAAATGTGCAGGTTCAACTTGGTGGGCCTACAAAATATGAAATAATGGATTGCGTCTTATCAAATGCCTTTGCCGCTGAGTTGGCACAGTTTCAAATGTGTCTTGCAATTCTTGGGCAGTTACATGAATTTATCTGAGAGGTAACTGATATAATTGTTGTATTCTTAGTATGGCTTTTGTTATAATGATGTACTGCTATTTGTTGGGATTGATTTTTTTGATCGTTGTATATTTTATTTGCTAGGGAGTATTCTGCTACTCGGTACATGTTAAGAGAAACTTAATATTTCAGCTTTTATTTGTCTTTGTTTTTTTCTTTTTGTGAAATGTATAAAGCATTGATTTATTGGGGAGGAGAATGAAATGTTCTAACGCTCGATTGGTTAAAGGGAGGTTTAAGATTTATATAGGTCAAAAGTTCAAGATTTCCCCTTTATTCTTTAGAGGGTACAGTGTCGGTTTAATATAGTTCCTGTCCTGTCAGCATGCATAACTGCAAGGCAGCAGTTACTGCTTCACTCTGGGGAATAAAATGAAAGGATTGTTATTTATATGACTTCTCAGTAATAACCTGCCAATATGACTACGTGAAGACCTGCAGTAATTGTAATTACTGTTCAAGCTATCAAGTTACTATACTGTGATTCTTCTATTCGCTATCTAGTAGTAGTTTATGTGGCACATCGTCTGCAATTGAGTAAACAGACCATTTATATGTCCCTTTATTATAGTTGAATATGATCTTATTAGTAGATTAATCACGGTAACTATGATTTTTCCTTCTTAATGAAAATGATAATATTCTAGGGAACCTTTGACGATTACAGCTACACATTGTTGTCATAGGACCTTGTCCTTCAAAAAGAATGCTAGATATATTATTCCCATTGATGGGTAAAAGAGTGATTTGCATATGGTCCCTATACTTGATGCTTGTATAGTGCATTCTCTGTCTTGAATGGACAACTTCAATTAGAGCTAAGTCATTTACTTTAGGACCTGCCTGAATTTATATCTTTTAAAGTGGAGGCAGGGCGTATTGTCTTTTTTTACACACACTCTTACATATTTTCATTGGCATTCCAAAGTAGTTAAGCTTTTGGAGAGAACAGTTACTGTGTAATATCTTAAAGATAAAATTTTGGATGATGGATGGCGCATGATTTTGAACTAAAGATTGATTGAGTTACATGTTCTTTAACAAACATCATTTTCACCATAGAAGCAGAGACAACAATACATATAAGTGTTTGACAATGGACAGTTCCTGTGGATATTTTAAAATCAAAGGGCACTTCTAGTAACTTAAATAAAAAAAATTTAGTGGAAATCTACAGTCCGGTTACAATTTTAGTACTTGTTAGAAGTAAGTGGCCTTACGTTTTGAGATACATTTGTGATCCCCAATTGACCATCCAAGTGTTTCAATTTGAAGAAATTATGCATCTTCATTCTCGCCTGTTTTTCTACAAGGTTCTGTGTTTGAAGTATAGGTTTGAAGCTCATATGAAAGTTCATGTGGGATCTATCGATGAGGAAGATGATGAGCAAGGAGTTGCTCATACTGTATTTCATATCCATTCACCCACAAGTACGCAGGTTTGTGCTGTTCTCATCTTTTGCCTTTAATCCATTCTTAAACTTGTTCCTGTAGGATTGCTTAACTTTGTCAAGTCATCTTTATAGTTTTGCTTTTCGTGCTATTTTTGCATGTAAAAGAAGGATCAACCTTTAATGAAATTGGGGCCACTGTGGATGCTTTAGAAACTTAGGAGTCAAGTGATTTTTTTGGTACCCTTCAAGATGCAAAAGCAAACTTGCTGTAAATGATAATGGTTGAATTGATCCCCACAAAGTATAAGTTAATCAATAATCAATCATAGTGGAATGTAAGCAGCTTTTGCACAAATGTGTTGTCATCAATTATGGCTTTGATTATCTGTTGCATCTCATATTTTCATTTCTTGTTTGTAGTTGTGTTTCAGATTGCAAATTTTAAATACTAATTCAACGTAACATTGATCTCTAGGACTCTGGAGGAGATTTGCTGCCAGTTGTTCTGGAGGCTCTGAATGAGGTCAGCCTTTTCCTTCGTTTTTTTTATAATGATTAATACTTTGATATAATGAAAGCATTAAATATCTATTTCTTTGACAACTGATCTTTAGTCACGATTTTCTTGTACTAGTTTGGAATCGTCCATATTATATTGTATACAGAAGCGATTGATTTATTAATCTACCTTTGAACGACGTAGATTGCTTTTCACCCCAAATTTTTGGCTTCTCGGGTTGAGAAAGAGAGACGGGCAATTTTGTCAGAACAACAAATGATGAATACGATAGAGTACCGTGTTGATTGCCAGGTACTCTTTAATTGTTGCTAGATACATTACGTTAAGTTTGTCTTACTTTTCAAAATTTTATGTTTATCTTCACCCAATTCTTCTTCTTTGTTGGCATAGTTGTTGCAGCACTTGCACTCTGAGAACAATTTGAGTAAAAGGTTTCCGATGGGATTAGAGGAGCAGATTAAGAAATGGGATGCTGTTAAAATCAGGAAATTTCATGAGCGCTGGTACTTCCCAGGAAATGCTACACTATACATTGTTGGGGATATTGATGACATTTCTGATACGGTTAACCACATCGAAGTACGTTGCTATCAATTTGTTAAGGGTGCAATTGCATATAGATTATTTTGGAAAAAAATAATGTTTCAATGTAAAGAGTGGGTGAAAGAGTAGAATTTTTTTTGGGTGGAAAAATGGAATATCTTTTTTATTGTAAATGGATTTGAGATAAATGTAAAGATTAAAGTTGATTTGATATAAAAAAAAAAGTAAAAATAATGAAGGGAAATGATTGGTAGTTGAAAATATTGAGTTGATGAATTGTGATTTTTATTGCATTGTGTGGTAATGTTTGTTTTGTATTTTTTTATTTAGTTTTGTTGATAAGATTGTGGAGATAAAAGTGGGACTTGATGATTTTATATTATTGTTTTGTTTTTTAAAAAAATTGTATCTCGTCGTATTTCCGATGAAAAGAATTACTCAGCGAGGCAAAATTGAAAATAATTTATATACAATTGCTTCCTAACTGTCTCGAGACGGTGTTGACATTTGACACCTGACACAATATTATACTTTTTGTCTGATTTAATTTGCTCATACTGTCACTTTTGAGTAAATTTTAAATTTTCAAGAATTTCACAGGCAGTTTTTGGGCAGACTGGCACACAAACTGAGGCATCTGTTGCACCTACAACTAGTGCTTTTGGTGCAATGGCCAGTTTTTTCGTTCCTAAGTTGTCAGTTGGGCTTTCTAGTGGTTTAAATCAGGAAAAGCTACTTGGTTCTTTCGACCAATCAAAAAATTTTAGAAAGGAAAGGTATGCTGTACGCCCTCCTGTTCAACATGATTGGTCCTTTCCTGGAAGCTATGCAGATGCAAAGCCTTCTCAGATATTTCAGCATGTTGCTTCAGCATTTCTCGATTAATATGTTCTGCAAGGTTATTTTTTCTGGCACTAAACATTTTGCTCAGTCTTCTACACATTACTGGAGCTTCTCTGTTCGAATTTCTATTATAGTTTCCCAGAAAGAATTTCTTCCCTTTTTCTTTTTCATGTTCGTAATTGTTTATAATTTTTGTGTGTTGGGTTTTTGTTGCTAATGGAATCAGAAAGCATCGTTTTATTTGTCACCATTATATGTTTCGACATAATTGTTTAGTTGGACAAGGTTAACGTTAAAGAAGAATACTTCAAGTCAGCTTATAGTTTGAAATTGGAACTTCGTTGTAGTATTTTGCTAAGAAGCATGTGCAAAGTTGATCTAGTGGCTGGTAATGGAATAGCTTAAAACTGTAAAAGTGTCTATTACTTTGGGTGTATATTACTGATTCATTTTGTGAGCTATAGTCTTCACCTATACCATAGCTTATTAGCTTATTAGTGTCTTAAATATATGTGCACATGTATGATTTGATATTTTTGTGCATTTTCAGTTTTTATTTCACCTGCTAATGAAGTTGAGATGAAGGGGCCATTTTGTTGAAAGCTCATTGATGATGAGTTGTGTGTAGATTATATTTTACAATTGATTGATTTGAATCTACATAATATGATCGAATTTCACAGTGAATCAACAAGAGAACATTTCATACATTTGACAATATCCGTTGTATTTTGTCTCGTTTGAACAATCTTTAACTCAAGTATTTGTGAAGGACTTCAGGCGGGGAAGGATTTAATTTCCTTTTTAGTTGGAAGTTGAAGCATTTATACACTTCAGTTACTCAATGTTGGCCATCATATGGATATAAGCCAACTATTTGTTTCATTCCAATTGAACCAACTTAATACCTTTGAATTGCATCTATTAGTTCTCCCTATGTAATTTCCTAGTTGGTACCATCAGTGATTGTGCTTATTTGATATTATTTTGGAGCTCTATTTCTTTAAAAGATGTAACAGATTATTTTTCTTTTATGATTATTTATTTCATAATGCATATTTTTTTTTCTAGATACCTGTTACCAAGGTCCGTACTTACAGAGATTTGCGGATGGTGCTGATGAAGAGGATATTTCTTTCTGCTTTGCATTTCCGCATTAATACAAGATATCAGGTGCGCCATTTTCCACATTAGTTGGCGCTGGTGCAAGGATGAATTGTCTGGCAAATGTATATTATGGTGCACATGCTCAAGTTAAATCTTCTTGTTTCTGCATTTTTTTAATCAATAATTGAATATAAAGTAAAAGAAGTAACACGAGATGCTATTTTATAAAATACGATGGTCTTCTTTCTCAACACGTAAAATAAAAACTTTTGAAACAAAAGATATGTTATGGAAAGTTAAAGTAAAAGAATTAACACGAGACGCACTAGGTCATATTGTGATGGATCAAAGACAAGGACACGAGAGTTTGGTCGCTGTTGTTGTAACTGTTACTCTGGAGGAGGTAAAATTAACTTAATACTTCCAGTTCCTCTAAAATGTTGCCTTTTATGTTTCGTCGTAGGTGTACAGGGAAATATGTTTATTCTCAGACTTCGTAAAACTCTTGAGATTCCCACCATTTTCTTGTTTTGACGTTTTCTTGTTGATTCGCTGTGCTTTTCAATACCCATCATTTATTCCCATAAAATGTGGAAATTGCTTAATTAATATGCCGAACCATTAATAGCTGTTAGGCACATATTTGTTGACCCTTTCCAATCTGTGTTAGGTCAGTTCTATTGGTGCTGAGATGTTGGAGTTTCTATCTGATTACGGTAAACCATCTGCACCCTGTCCTGCTGCAATCCAAAGAAAGTACATATGGATGGAATCGGTGAGACTGACTTCAGGATAGAACCACCAGAAATTGTGGGTGCTATTGAAGCTGGCTTGAAAGGACCCAATAGAGCCTGAGCCCGAGGTCAATTACCTAGAAATATATTTTTTTATGGTTTATTAGTCATAAGTATAAGGCGTAGTAAAGGTGGCATGTAGATATCCATTCCCTTTGGGAATGAATTTGAAACCTTTCTGTTGCTAAGGAGTTTCTGTGATGTTTGGTAGACAGGAAAAGTGCTAGGAATGAAGTGTCTACATCCGCACAGTTGCCTTTAATAGGCTATATTATTGACTCAACATATTTTTTCACCTATGCAGCTTGAAATACCAAAAGCATTGATATCCGCAGAGCAACTACGGGAACTAAAGTCGCATTTACGCCCATCCTTCATTCCTATTGACCAAGAAAATAGATTGATAAAGATTTGTGATGAGGATACAGGAATCATAATGTGGCGTCTTTCAAATGGAATTCCTGTGAATTACAGAGTAAGTATTTTTCCCATTCATAGATAAATATCGAGTGTTTTTGAAAACTTGCTGTTGTTAATCACTTAATCTTTATTCAGAGTCTACCTGATTTCTGTAAGTTTTACGGATATTTCAATCCAACCTTGCCTGAAAATCATTTCATGATCTTTTTATTAGTTTCTTTTTGTTTTCTCCATCTTTTTTAGGGTAGATTTCTCTATGCGTTTCAACCGAATAATATTACTTAAAGTAGAAAATTTGTGATTCCTATACTAAGTCACTTCCAAAAGAAATTTTGATTTCTATGGAACTGTTCCACCTGAACTAATAAAATACTTTCATGCTTGCGTTTTAAAAAAATAGGCTTAAATGTAAATATTATGCCATTGTTATTGTGTTGATTGTAATTAAAGATGCCCGGGTTGTTACTGTGTGGCAACTTTAAAATTGCGCAATTGGTTTTGCTGTTTTTGACTGTGTTTCCTTCTTAGGTTTGCATTGTAATTTGTGGATGTTCTTTACGTTTCATATTCATAAGTCTCATACATTATTTCTGGGAAAACAAATTGTTGATTTTAAGCTGTATCTTAGTCATTTGTCAATGGTGTATTGATTATTCGGTCTTATTATGGTGTGAAAACTATGTCGGACCATGCTTCTATTTAATTCTTGTTATTATGGTTATAGATATCTAAAAGTGAAGCCAATAGTGGTGTTATGCGCCTCATAGTTGGTGGTGGGCGAGCAGCAGAAACTGCTGAAGCCATGGGGGCTGTTATTGTGGGTGTTAGAACCCTGAGTGAAGGAGGTTGTGTGGGGAATTTTACGCGCGAGCAGGTGAAGAATTGGAATATTTATTTTTGTTATTGCTCCTTTGTTAAAAAGTTTTTTCCTATATTGTTCACATTTTATCCTTTGTGTTTCTTAAATTCGTTCACCAAATATTCAAATATGTGGTTGTGAGGATGTGTTAATTTTGTTACCTAACTTTACACCTATGTGCTGAATTACAGATCACTACATTTTAGCATTATGTTGTGTTAGTTGATCATCAAAACAGATTGATTTAAGGTGTTATGTTGGTTGGTGTTATTAACATTCCTCTTAGTATCCTTAAATTTATGTGGTTTATTTAGTTGTTAACTTGCCCTTTCTATTTCCTTCAAAACTATTACGAGAAAAGAGAGATATGATGATAGTGGTGTTCTTTTCTTGCTTTTTGATATTTATTTTTCTCATTTTTGTTTTATCATATATATGTTTTAGCTTTTTTAATGCTCTTGACCTTTTCTTGTCGTGCTTCATCTGGAGATATTATTATCAAGTTATGTGTAGCCAAAGATTTCTTCTCCCTGCTGTTGTGGTCCATGAAAAGTAATAATACACACTATGTCTCTAGGTGGAATTGTTTTGTGTGAATCATTTGATAAATTGCTCTTTGGAGTCAACCGAGGAATTTATTAGCATGGAAATTCGTTTTACATTAAGAGATGATGGAATGCGTGCGGCTTTCCAGTTACTGCATATGGTACTAGAGGTAATCCAGAATCTTCTATCTTGTGTATTTTTTTATCAAAGTGTTTTGATTATGACACATTGGTCTTGAGTAGAACTCATCCCCAAAAGCTAGCTCAAAGGAACCCACACTTATACACAAACAGCTCCGTAACTAATCAGTGTGGGACAAACATAACTCCTAACACCTGTTGATAGAGATTGGGAAAGTAAATCATGGGAAGGAAAACAAGAATGGAATAAAATGAGTGACGCGACATTGGAAGCATAAATTATGGGATTGGCTTGAATTGTGGGATCCTCTTGCATGGATGGCTATCAAATTGTTTCTTATTTATTCTGTATTATCTATTACCTTAAATAAATATTATGCTTATAAAAGGGGATGGAGGAAGTGAAGATTAGGTATCGAGAGGAATTTCATTGTTTGTCGGCTTTTTATCTTGGGCGGGATTATTTCCCGAGGAGAACTACGTGTTCTTGGAGAACCCTGTGCTTTTTTTTTTTCATTTTTCCAGTGGCCTTTTACTCCACCCTCATGCGCATTTTGTCAAACCAAATGGGCCGGGTTTACACCAACGTTGCTCTAAACAAATAAAATCCTATTGCTCTGATACCAAAAGGTAGCTCAAAGGGAGTGCCCAATCCACACGTATACACAATAATAGACTAGTAACTAATCGATGTAGGACTAACATAACACCTAAACTGTTTCCAACCTGGTTACTCCTAATTTAGAGAGCTGCTAATTTTTTGTTTCCTTCTGTTTGGTGTTATTTTCCGTTGCTACTTGGTCAACTTGTTTGTATTGAGGACGTGTTATGAATAGAGGGCAGCTAATTCCATTAGTACTTCAATTTTATTTATTTATTTATTTATCTATTTATTTTTAACAGTGGAATTCAAATCTTGCACGTGTCTCTTGTTTGGTCAGTCTCAGATCCCTCGGAGGTTGGATCTGGTTTTGTGAGTTTATCTTATTTGAAATGGGTGCAGTCGGCCTTTTGTTGAAAA